TTTCCTTTGTTTCATGCCCTCTACATTTATGGAGCCACAGGCTTGTTCTTCCGTATCTTGGTTGTTATGTGCCTTCAAGACAACTCCATCTCATACAAAGATTTGTTCAGAGAAGATTTTCCTTTACCTTCCTCTTAGGTTGAGAATGTGACTTGAGTAAGGTCGCTTACTCTAGGGGCCCTTTCAGACAGGCCCTGTATCCCAGGTTTTCTGTTTACCTCAAATTTGATCCCATGTTTTTTGTTTTGATTATCTGGCAGTGCGGACTCAGGTGTTTTTTAATGCAGAAAACCTTGGATCAGATCCTGGGATATGGGGTCTCTCTGGAAGGGTCCATGGTCACTCAGGGCCTTATATTCCAGGATCTGATCCCAGGTGTTCTGCTTTAAACTGGGTTATATGAGTCCACACTGCCAGATAATCTGGGATAAACAGAAAAAAACTGGGATCAGATCCTGGGATATAGAGCCTGTCTGGGGGCCCTCAGTGTCTGAGCAGGGATTCAAAGAGTCCTAGTCTTACACTTAAGCCAAATATTTTGTTGGCTGCTCTTTATCCTATTCAACATAATGCCTGATGTCAGAGTAGTCAGGATGGGGAGTTGGAGGCCTCTAGGCCAGATGTACCCATGGGGGCTTTCCATCTGCTTCACAAGCTGTTGGTTCTTTTATCTCCAATCCATCATTATAAATCAGAGATAAAAGTCTATTTCAAGTTGGAACTATTTGTGTTGAACTAAGTTCTTGTTTGAAGCCTGGGCATCTGTTGAGTGGCATTGCAGTATGTATTATGTAGAAGAAAAGTTTCATGCTGGAGATGGCTCCCACCACAGACCTCATTCACACCTGGGATGGCATGGACTTGCTAATTGCCTATATCATCATCTCCATGCTCCATGCTGCTTCAGCAGTTCCAAAGGTGAGTTACTAAATGAAATGAAACAAAAGTCTCCTATGGTGAACACAGGTGTTACAGTGACTCCAGAGAGGTTGAATCAATAATCCATGTTCTCACGTATTTTTCTTTGTACCATAGTGTGAATATTTTTATTGATCCTCTGCTTGATGAAATTTCCAGAACGATCAGGTGCATTATTATGTCTCTCTTCTTTATTCTGACCAGGATGCATCTATTCCTCATAGAGAGGCTGAGTTACGTGTTGCAGCATGCCAAACCCACCAGGAATCAATTTTAGCTAATTCATGATCTCTGGTTTTTTTGTTTTTTTTAAAAAAATATTTTTAGGTTCTTTCCCAGTATGCCATAGCTACTACTAATACTACAGCACTTTGAAATCAGTATTGGCATGAGTTGTTGTAGGTTTTTCGGGCTGTATACAGCTCAAAAAACCTACAACAACCCAGTGATTCTGGCCATGAAAGCCTTCGACAAAATATTGGCATGCCTTCAACTTGCCTGCTGACTTATGGTGGCCTCATGTCTTTCCTAAGGCTTTCTTAAGCAAGGAATACTCAGAGCTACTTTTGCTTGACCCTTCCTCTAAAATGCAGCCTACAACACTATATTGTACATGTGAATCATGTATTTTAATATCATTTTCCTGAATGCTGGTGATTGGCTTTAACAATTTAGATATGCTGAGCTCTGTATTGGGATGGCATCAGTAATGGATGCTATTACAACTTCCATGGAATATTTTAAAAGGCTGTTTTCTCCCCAAGCACAAATAATTGTATACTTTTGCCCAGACCACTCCTCTAAACAGGCATTAATTCACTCAGATGGGTTATGAGCCAAACAATGGCCCCAAATATTCTCAAAGACAATTACATGGAAGTTGCTTAGAGTTAAAATGCCAAAGAGGTAGTTCTACTCTGATGACTTGCACTGGAGTTTATAAGTAAAAAGCAATGTCTAAAATCTTACTGGTTAAACCCAACTGAAACAGACACACTGAATTAAGTGCTGCGTGGTGAGTCATCATACTAAACACAACTGATTCAATAGATCAGTTCTACTTAGGATGCTTCCAGACAGGGCTTAAACTCATGCCGAAGTGGGTTTAAAAAATCCACATTGGCATGTTAAGTCCCCATGCCACCTCAAAACCCCAGGCTTTCCTCCTCTCCCCCCCCCCCCCCAGCATGTTATTTCCTTGTGCTAGGAGAGAGTGAGGAAGCGTGTAATGGTGGTCTGCTAAGTTGTATAAGAGACATTATTTTCATTACAGGAGACTGGAATGCCAAGGTGGGAAGTCAAATGACAACAGGGATCACAGGCAAGCATGGTCTGGGAGAACAAAATGAAGCGGGACACAGGCTGATAGAATTTTGCCAGGAAAACTCGCTGTGTATAACAAACACTCTCTTCCAACAACCTAAAACACGGCTTTATACATGGACCTCACCAGATGGTCAGCACCGAAATCAGATTGACTACATCCTTTGCAGCCAAAGGTGGCGGACATCCATCCAGTCGGTGAAAACAAGACCTGGGGCTGACTGTAGCTCAGATCACGAACTTCTTATTGCCCAATTTAGAATAAAACTAAAGAGATCAGGGAAAATACACAGACCAGCTAGATATGATCTCACTAACATTCCTAGCGAATATACAGTGGAAGTGAAGAACAGATTTGAAGGACTAGATTTAGTAAACAGAGTCCCAGAAGAACTATGGACAGAAGTCCGCGACATTGTTCAGGAGGCGGCAACAAAGTACGTTCCAAAGAAAAAGAAAACCAAGAAGGCAAAATGGTTGTCTGCTGAGACACTGGAAGTAGCCCAAGAAAGGAGGAAAGCAAAAGGAAACAGTGAAAAGGGAAGATATGCCCAGTTAAATGCGCAATTCCAGAGGTTAGCCAGAAGAGATAAGGAACTATTTTTAAATAAGCAATGCATGGAAGTGGAGGAAGACAACAGAATAGGAAGGACAAGAGACCTCTTCCAGAAAATTAGAAACATTGGAGGTAAATTTCAGGCAAAAATTGGTATGATAAGACAAAGATGGCAGGGACCTAACAGAAGCTGAAGAGATCAAGAGAAGGTGGCGAGACTATACAGAAGATCTGTATAGGAAGGATAATAATATTGAGGATAGTTTTGACGGTGTGGTGAATGAATTAGAACCAGACATCCTGAGGAGTGAAGTTGAATGGGCCTTAAGAAGCATTGCTAACAACAAGGCAGCAGGAGACGACGGGATCCCAGCTGAACTGTTTAAAATCTTAAAAGATGATGCTGTCAAGGTGATGCATGCCATTTGCCAGCAAATGTGGATGGAACAAATCAACTTATATCCCCATACCAAAAAAGGGAAATGCGAAAGACTGCTCAAACTTTCGTACAGTGGCCCTTATTTCTCATGCCAGTAAGGTAATGCTCAAGATCCTTCAAGGAAGACTCCAGCAATACATGGACGAGAGTTGCCAGATGTTCAAGCTGGGTTTAGAAAAGGTAGAGGAACGAGAGACCAGATTGCCAATATCCGCTGGATAATGGAGAAAGGCAGGGAGTTTCAGAAAACATCTACTTCTGCTTCATTGACTATTCTAAAGCCTTTGACTGTGTGGATCATAATAAATTGTGGCAAGTTCTTAGTGGGATGGGCATCCCAAGCCACCTTGTCTCTCTCCTGAGGAATCTGTACAAGGACCAAGTAGCAACAGTCAGAAGTGACCACGGAACAACAGACTGGTTCAAGATTGGGAAAGGCGTACGGCAAGGCTGCATACTCTCACCCAACCTTTTTAACTTGTATGCAGAACACATCATGCGATGTGCGGGGCTGGATGAATGCAAGGCTGGGGTGAAAATTGCTGGAAGAAACATTAACAACCTCAGATATGCAGATGACACCACTCTGATGGCCGAAAGCGAGGAGGAGCTGAGAAGCCTTCTAATCAAGGTGAAAGAAGAAAGCGCAAAAGCTGGGTTGCAGCTAAACGTCAAAAAACCAAGATTATGGCAACAAGAATGATTGACAACTGGAAAATAGAGGGAGAAACCGTGGAGGCCGTGACAGACTTTGTATTTCTAGGTGCAAAGATTACTGCAGATGCAGACTGTAGCCAGGAAATCAGAAGACGCTTACTTCTTGGGAGGAGAGCAATGTCCAATCTCGATAAAATAGTGAAGAGTAGAGACATCAGACTGGCAACAAAGATCCGCCTAGTCAAAGCCATGGTATTCCCTGTAGTAACCTACGGATGTGAGAGCTGGACCTTAGGGAAGGCTGAGCGAAGGAAGATCGATGCTTTTGAGCTGTGGTTTTGGAGGAAAGTGCTGAGAGTGCCTTGGACTGCGAGAAGATCCAACCAGTCCATCCTCCAGGAAATAAAGCCCGACTGCTCATTGGAGGGAAGGATACTAGAGACAAAGTTGAAGTACTTTGGCCACATCATGAGGAGACAGCAAAACCTAGAGAAGACAATAATGCTGGGGAAAGTGGAAGGTAAAAGGAAGAGGGGCCGACCAAGGGCAAGATGGATGGATGGCATCCTTGAAGTGACTGGACTGACCTTGAGGGAGCTGGGGGTGGTAACGGCCGACAGGGAGCTCTGGCGTGGGCTGGTCCATGAGGTCACGAAGAGTCGGAGACGACTGAACGAATGAACAACAACAACAAGTTGTATTTTATTTCTAGGGGTTATTTTGGAGCTTAGATGGAATTGATGGGCGCCACCCCATACCTTTGGCTCCAGGAGCCCAAAAGGTACAAGAGATGGCAATGGGAACTCACCACCAGGTAGTCCCGGGACTACCCGGGGATGAGTCACAATTAGACCTAAGCCGTTCAGGAAGGCTTGGATCTAACGGGGTATCTAATTAATTTGGAACAAACTAGGGAAGACCAGAGTTCAGGATATACTGATTTAGCCTTTTTCTTTCTCTTTTGGAAACACTTCTGGCAGTTTAATGGGCCTACAAATCATTTTTAAATGTTTATGCTGAGAAGAAAACTTAATCTGTCAGGAATAAAACAACTCCAGTAAAATATAGCAACAAATGATGGATCCATTTTTTTTCAGACTTCAAAAGGATATTGAAACCAAGACAAAAAGTCTTTTTATTCTAAATTTCTGTATTTACAGAGGGTGCCATTTTACACAGTGAGTCAGTCTCTGTGTAAAAGAGACATAATCATCCAATGTCATTGTGCTTACATTAGTAACAAATCTTTAACACTTGAGTATATTAACAAACAAACAAAATGAACAAACGGGCATAAAAGACACAGGTAACATGTGCTGAATTTTCACATATAATCAGAAACAGGATGAGGCAAAAGTAAAATGGGTCAAATTCCTTTTTTTTAAAAAAAAGCAGATTATTAATCAAATACTGTGTATGATACTTTTTGTTTTGTTTTATTTTGTTCATTTATGGATGCTACACTGAGCTTTAATCTCAATCTTTTTCACACCGGGATATGCAGGCACTTTCACAATCCAGTTATATGTTTCACAATACATGAAAATTCAGACCTAAAAACACAAAACCAACTGTGGCAAAGGAAAATTTAATATACCCAATAAGCACATTAAAACATCTCTGCTAGAACGATTTTTTTGTGTCTGTTATTTTTGGACATCAACATGTTTTCCCAATGATACATACCAATTCCCTCTGCCTCCCCCTCCCCATTTTTTTTGAACTCATACACATTAGTGGTTGTATCATAGTGAGATGCAAAAATACCATAGGATGGAAGCACAGTGTACATTGTCCACAAGGCTTTACAAACTGTCAAAAAAGAGAGGTTTTAAAAAAGCGATTTTTAGTTCAAAAATAGAATTGAATTTCATTTTGTCTTGCCTTTCCCCTTCCAACAAAAGAAATTAAATTATCATGATATGATGTAACTGAGTAATGGTTCATTTTGGAATAGAATTCATTTTGAAGGCAAGGGGAAACGTTTTATAAAAAAATAAACTTGCTAAACCAAGCCAGAGTTTTTTCCCCACACCAGTTCATATGCTTCATGAAATAAGAGATTTCGCACCATTGCTATTGGACAAGGTTAAGTTATATAAATACAATGTTTCCACTGATAATATAAGGTATATATGTTTAAAGTATATAAGACAAATGTAACAAGGTCCCCAGAATAAATGAAATATAATAGCATTGAGTTTTTTTCCTTTTTCCTTAGGAATGAGGATAAAGCTTTTCGATAGGACTCAAGAGTGAACATGTGCAGGCAAAGAAAAAGAGAATTTCAGCATACAGACATTTAAATATTTATCAACTATAAGTCATCCAGGACCAGAGATCTTACATAGACATCTGCCTTACTGCTTATAGCTGATATGTACCCCTTTCCCTCAATCCAAGGGGAAAATAGTTATGGCAATGCTTTGTTTATTTAAGAAACCAATTTATTATAAATGTTGGAACCATAATTCATTAAAGAGTTGAACACCTGATAACAAAATGTGGCAAAGTAGCCCCTGATAGCACTGGGCTGGACTAGGACACTTGATTAAAAAAGAAACATCATTTGCCTAGGATATGATTGTCAGATGATAGAAACTCCTTTTGAGGAATATAATACTTGAGACACAGTGGCAAAGACATAAGGCCCTCTGATTCTTTGCCCATTTTGTTAAAGGCACTGAAGCAGACAAAAATTCCTTAGTACCTCCACTTCCAAACGTTTGGAACATTCTTCACAAAATACAAGTCTCTTCATATGAAAGTGTTCCTTTATTGCATGGGATGCTGACCTTTTTCTTTGACTCAAGAATAAAAAGGTCTTCCCTTTTCTGAAGTCTGTAATCTATTTAGCCGGGCAACCTGAGATGGCGAAGGTGGTACATCTTGCCTGAAAGGACCTTTGGGAGTGGCATAATTAGGGTCTTGCACTTTCTTATAAGAGTCATAATTGCTGGACCCTTCAGAAGATGTCTTTTTTTTCATCTGCTGCTCTTTCCTCCTTTGTTCTTGACGCAACAACTCTTGAGTTTCAAGCATGACCCGTGCGTTGAAGCCATGGCCACCCATGTAGCCATTCCGTGAGCCCTGATAGCTGGAATACCTGGGGTTGTCTTTTGCACTTTGGAAACCTTCACCTGGATGATAATTCTGCTCCCAAGAATCTTGAGATATGGAACTTGCATTTTTCCGGCTTTGCCTGAAAAAAGAACACATATATTTACAAATATCGCATGATACTCACTTCAAATATTTATTCTTGAAAGCATTTTTATTCCATCTTTCTGGTCCCACCTGATTCCAAACAACAACTCATGAAATAATGAAATATTAATTGTTACTACCAAATTTTAGGAATGCTGGAGGGAACAAGAAAAGCCTATTGCCTTCACATTTCTACGTGTGGACTTCCTAAGGATATCTAGTTGGTTGCTGTGAACATCAGGATGATGAACAGATCACTCTAATCAAAATGGCGGTCCAAGAGCTTGTTGAGATCCTTGATCCACTGGCTGCCAGTCCCTTATGAGTCACCATGGAAAGGAAGAAATCAATGATTGCTAATATGGGGAATGAAATAATTGATGGTCCCCCAGATGAGATAGTTGTGGAAACACATGACCTTGTGTGATTCAACAGGGTCCTCCTTATACCTTGTAAAACAACAGAATATCAGTTTCTTATCCAAAACTCATCAGTAAGGCCAAAAGAGAATGTTCCACAATATGGGCACTATAGTTAAAAATGCCTTCTATCACTAAATTAAACATAGACAACTATGGACTGTACTGAGTTCCATAAATAGGCCATGTGCAGCCAATATGACATAAAACTATGGCCAGTAATCATGTGTATATGCATTTGTTGTTTTCTTTCTTTACACAAAACTAGTGTATTAAGCTGTATGCATACTTTATTTTTACCCTCAGCCACAATTTAGCATAGTTAGGTTTAATTGCTTTAAAGAAAATTGAATAAATTGAACACAGAATAATCAGTATGAAAATTGAATCAATCCTAGCCTTCAATGAAAATTAGTTTAAGTTGTATCCACCCGGTTTTGTTCCAGATACTAGTATCTTCCTTTATTACATGCGTTGACAATGTTGTGTTCAAGCACAATCAATCTCTCCATGTTTCACATACATAAATACCCCAACAATCGAAGAACTACTTTTTTACTTAATAATTTCCCCATATGCTGATGCAATCATATACACTTTCATAAGGTCTTTCCAGTTTCTTAGAAGAACTACATTGTGGTGAATCTTTCTCCTTCCTTGTGCAACTAACAATAGCAAACAACAACAGAAACAAGCAGTCTTAAGAAATGTAGTGACTTTACAATCTGGACCATATTCCTCCATCATGGTAGATTCCCAGATGATTATTTCTGCTTGGCAGCCAGTAGGCTCTTCTCACACTGTCTGCCTTGTCTCTTCTGCTTAGACTAACCAGCAATTCTTCAATTTAAAGGTGTTCCTTGAGGCACTACACTATAAATATTCACAGTTTGACAGCTACTACTGTAATAGCAATTAGAACCTTCAGACTTAACGCTACAATAGAGCAGGACATGAGACATTAGTATGCAGGAGGTTAACAACTCTGACTGCCAAAGGCCTGTCTTTTACTCCATGAAGCTCTGCAAGTCATCCCACTGTCAGTGAAATCTGTTTTCAAGATACATAGCATTTGCCCATTCAATACAAAAATATTTGAGTAAGATGGGCATAATTCAGTCTACAGACCCTTCATACTTCCTTCTGTAACATGTGAAACTGCCTGGATGTAATTCAGTTGATACTGACTGGCAATCCACCAGAAATACTTTTTTCCCCATGTTATATCGTAGTGATGAACAGCACATGCATTAATGATATGGGGTTAAGCTTAAACGAAGTGGATCCACACACAGACCAGTCAGAGAAAAGCATGGTCCCCTACTTGGATGTTGAAGATATAAATACTTCAGTTGGAGAGAAAAAAAAGACACATGAGTAAGAGAAAAGTCTAGATTCCAAGAAATCTCAGTCTTGAGTTCCACTACCTTGTACCAGCTGCTCCCACTACCACTGCTTTCCACACAGCCCACTCTTTCTTTTTATTACCTTACTTGTTTCAATTCTCTCAGACTTACATAACACCAGAACAGGGACAATAGCTACATCAGCAACAAGCACATTCCTTGTCCCCCTCCCCACCACTGTTTCTTCTCTACCTCCAGTAGTTCATCACTGGTTGAAAATCCAGGATCCCTTGGATATATGGAAGTCTATTCTTCTATTGTACCCAAGAGTCACATTTCCAAGGATTCCTTCCACTTTGGGAACTGTTGTTGAGCTTTCTTCTAGTTATCTCAATAAAAGGGAAGGCTATGAGAACTAAAAGTCCAGGGATGGAGTGTCACTAGTTAAGTGGGTAAGTTGGATAAGGACAAGGAACATGTAAGTTAGATAAAGACAATGATAATGCCACAGGCAAAGTAGTTGGTGAGGCTTCCTTTTTGCAGATAATTCAAACTTTCTAATATCACTGTGGTGGCATCATTGAATGACCTTGCTGCTCTTGGCATTCCAGATAAACAGAAGGCATGGAAAATATGGCACCAGTAGCATGTATAAATGAAGTTTATGTTCAGTACAGTAAGACCCTGAGTGAATACATTCAACCTGGATACACTGAAATGTTTGTTGAGGTTTATAAAAGCATCTAAAGTGACTCAGTTTCTGAATCCCTTTGTGAAACAATTTACAGCAAGCTGAATGAACCTCCTGAGTCTATAAGGCTGCCAAATTTTCTGAGATGAAGGCAAACAACATTTCGATAGCAGGCTCCCACATGGAGGTGAAGGTGACTTTATAGCATTTTGCACTGGAAATGAAAAGGAGTAATTTAGTAGAGACTTCATTGAGATCTTTCTGTAGGCAATAAATCTGGTTCAAACCTATTTGGACTGTTTACACTGTTCTTATGAGATGATACTAAATAAAAAATGGAGGCAGCTTATATTTATAACTGCATGTATGCAGATTATACATGAAGGGGGAGAAACAAAGACTGCAATACTTATTAGTTTGTTTGTGCACAGAACAAACTAATAGAACAGAACTTAAACTGATCCTGAATTGAGCAGATATTCCATACACGGTTGTAATTCCTAACTGAAATAATAATGCACTACATGTTTTGTGTAAAAAAGTTTAATACAGTAATAATGTTAGGAATTTAGAAAGTGTAGCCATGTTCTTTTAGTTAAAGAGATTAAAAATCCTGCTGGATCAGACCAAAAGGTTGATTTACATCACTATCCAGTTTCTCACTGGGGCCATTTAGGTGCTTGTGGAAGGTCTACCAACAGATCACACAAGCAATTTTTGTTTGAGAAGGGGACACAAAAATGTTCTCCTTTTGGAATTGACCAGTTCCCTATGGCTTTTAAGGTATTGGACTTTACTGATTATCAATCCTAGTGCTCAGGGAGTTGCACTTTGGAGAGCTACAGGTTCTCTACATGCTAGCAAAGCACTTGAGAAATGGGTTAGAACAGGGATCTTCAAACTTTTTAAACAGAGGGCCAGGTCACAGTCTCTCCAATTGTTGGAGGGCTGGATTATAATTTGAAAAAATGAAGAAATTCCTATGCACACTGCACATATCTTATTTGTAGTGGAAAAAACACTTTAAAGCAATACAATAATTAAAATGAAGAACAATTTTAACAAATATAAACTTATTAGTATTTCAATGGGAAGTGTGGGCCTTCTTTTGGCTGGTGAGATAGGATTGTTGTTGTGTTCTGTGCTTTCAAGTTATTTCAGACTTAGGTTGACCCTGAGTGAGGGCCGGGTAAATGACCTTGGAGGGCCATATCTGGCCACCGGGCCTTAGTTTGAGGACCCCTGGGTTAGAACATACAGCTGCTTCATCCATTCCCATTGTTTCATTCCTCATTTCTCATCCAAACCTCCTTGTCTTCCAAATTAGCTTTATCCAATCTTCTAAGAAATCCATTTGCTGGATAGAACAGCCACAGCCAAATCCTCTTGCTGAGAATAGTCTTTTGTCTTTCATAATTTGTTTTCCCATTATATCACAGCCAAATAAAATCTCACCCACACATACCTTTTCCTTCCAAGAGGCAACTATTTGTTTGTGTTCTAGACATCCATTTGTTGTAAAAACTTTCTCTTAATCCAGGCTATCTATGCCCGCAAGTCAGCCCAAAATCATGTATTGAATGCCTGAAGGCTTTAGGTGGCACTCCATGGCAGTCACAAGCACCCCCGCACACATATACACATCCCTCTGTCTTTTGGAATCTTAGGTTGTCGATAAGCACTCTGCATATAAATCTTGATTTTAAATGAAGGCACATCTATTGGCAGCATTTAACTATTGGAACCAATTAAATGTGTCAGAAAGTTGGATGCAGCCCAACGTGACATAACTTTTCATAGTAATCTCTCCATTCACTCAATTAATTCTTTTATGACACACACCTACATCATCATCCAAAATTTACTCAAGAACAAGCTATACAAAAAGGAAGACCACTAATTCCCCTTATCAAATTCATATCTATTTTTCCTTTTACTATCTGAAATCATAATATATAAGGGCCCCATAAAGCTATCTAATTTCATATCATGGTTCTATGAGCGACAGAGCAAGCACGAACTGTGATTTCATGGCAGCTTCTCATTATATATCTGACCAGAATGAATTCCTCAAGATGAGTGCCAATCTAGATTTAGGTGCATGCAATTTAGGTGCATAAAAAGGGATCTCTTCACCTCACAACAGTTCCTCTACCCTTCTTGAAAATATTACAAAGAATTCATGGAAAGCATAATTTTAATACTTGCCTGTAAAGTATTTCTTATTGACATTGAAAGAATGTCTACATTTATGAGAACATCTTTTGTGCAAAGTATGTGAATATGTATTTTGCATTACAACGGGGAAAGAACTGAATTTTGAACAAATATATATTGCAGAATCCTTCATGAAAAACAATATTTTTTTTATTTCATTCTTGTCTTGAAGGAATCCTGTAACGGTTAATGACCTCTCACAGGGGTTCACAAACTCTTGCCTGGTTGTCTTAACAAGCTGTCTTACAATGAGTGGATAGGATAATGTAGTGACATTTCTTCAAACCGCTGGTGGAAAAAGTGCAGAAACAATCCCTGAATTATTTTTTTAGGGTCTGGAGACCTTGAGGGACTTCCAGAGGTCAGTGTGTGTGTGTGTGTGATACATTTAGATGTGCCATGGGCTGGATGCGGCTTGCAGGCTACTTTTTGTTCATCTTTGCTAAAGAAGATTTCATTAGTAACCTTAAGTACATTGACCATTTCCATGATGTTGGTTTTCCTCCATTATTTATTTAGTCATATATAAATATGTGTAAGGGTTTTCTCCTAATAAAGAAATCACAGCAGCTGAGTTCTGTATTTCTGACGGAATATGTTGCCTTTGTGTGCACGTTTGCTGAACTGTTTTAGTCATACCTTGGTAATGAACTGTACTGCCGCTGAGCCTGCTGGAAACTCTCCCTTTCTTCTTGTCGCTGCTTCTGCATCTGAACTTCTACCGACACAGAATGCCTCCCACTCTGCGAGTACGACTTTGAATTTGGCTAAGAGAAGAAAAAGAATAGAAAGTGACTGACTGCCTGATAGATTGAGTGGCTGAATCAAGCATTTTTCTATTGATTTCAACCCACCAATGCCTCCAAAGTGTGTAGAACAAATGAAAACATTAAAAACATTAAATACAGCAAAACATTTCCAAATTCATTTAAAATTGTTTTAAAACCTCAGTAAGTTTAAACAGCCAGAGTAGCTAAGCTCAGACTTCAGTCCTTAAAGAACTGACAGCAGGGTGAAACAATCCTCCTAGCTTGTTTTATTTGTTCTGTTATGTTTTAGGGAGTGAACCCTTTAGAAAAAAAGGATTCAAGCAATAGTCTGATCAGCTTCTATACTCCAAATTGAAGCATGGAGAACACCACCTTTTTCCTTTAGGTCAATGTTTCTCTACCTGGGGCGCAGGACACCTGGGGAGGGGGGGTCATGAGGGGGTTTCAGAGGGTCAGAAAACATATTTCTGATAGTCTTAAGAACCCCTTTGGCAGAGAAGGCTGAAGAGCTTTCTGCCTTTCTCTTTCTTTTTGGAAACAGTGAATCCTCCAACCAAAAGCCCTCCTCCTGCTGCAATTGGCCCTCCTCTCAGCTGACCTCCCAACAGCCAAGGGGAGGGCTGTTTTTGAAACTCCAAGCAGGGAGGGGACAGCAGGCATGCTCTCCCCTAAATCACTGTCAATTCCTCCCAAATCTCTCCAGTATTTTCTGTTGGTCATGGGGGTTCTGGGTGGGAAGTTTGACCCAATTCTGTTGTTGGTGGGGTTCAAGAGGATCTTTGATTATAGGTGAACTATGAATCCCAGCAACTACAACTCCGAAATATCAAGCTCTATTTTCCCCAAACTCGACCAGTGTTCACATTCGGGCATATTGATTATTTGTGCCAAGTTTGGTCCCGTGAACAAAAATACATCCTGCATATCAGATATTTACATTACAATTCATAACAGTAGCAAAGTTGCAATTATAAAGCAGCAACAATAATAATTTTATGGTTGGGATCACCACAACATGAGGAACTGTATTAAGGGGTCACAGCATTAGGAAGGTTGAGAAACACTGCTTTAGGTGATAAAATATCTTAGGTCAGCTAAGCTTAAAGGAAAAGGTTTTATCTCCTTTTAAGTTACATAATTACATGTGTATGTGTGTGTGTGTGTGTGTTAGTGTTATAGGTGTATATTTGTGTCTGTATATACATGCATACACACATACATACATATAACATACATTTACTGTTGACTATTGGGAACGATGGCCCAAAAGCCACAAACAAAAAACGGCATATCTGACAACTTTGAAAATGACTAACAATACATTTGGAGAGTGGGAATCACATTAGATTTATTTCACATCTGCACGTAACTTTTAATGCTGGCAACAGCACACCTCATGTCTGTGAGATATAAAACTAAATCTCCTTTCCTATCTCCTGCCACAAAGTGGAAAAAATATATTTCCATGCACTGGAACACAAATTGTGTGCTCAGAGTATGTCTCCCAAACCACTTAACACCTGTACAAACAGGGCAGCACAAGGCAAAGTATAATTATCATAATTCTTTAAAGCTATCAAACAAAGCTGGCTGCTTCTTAACAGTGTAAATTTGCAAAGAACTCTTGGCCTTGTCTGTGAGGAGATGTATCACAAGTGCTGACCTTTTAAATCACCTGGCAGTCAAGGACGTCATAAAAGGCACGGCTGTGTTATATAAATAAATAGATGTTTATGTCTTCCATGCTCAAACTTAAGTGAAATGATCATGACTGCTTGGAAGGTTTGTTAAGGAAAACAAAGGCAAAAAGACCGTTTAGGCAAAATGGTGATACATATGTGCAGCTTTAAGGTGTGAGATCTTTAAAAAAACAGTAGTCTTAATAGAGGGAATAGCTTTTGTGGAATGCTGAAGATGTTACAAGAAAAATGATTAGTCCCAATTCAAATATGCATAGGTTGGAGTTTAGCCCATTTTGCCACCAGAAGGCCCTTTCACTGGCAGAACAGATCCTGACAGTTGATCTTGGGAATCTGCTGAGAAAGGGCCCTTCCACACAGTCATATAACCCAGAATAACAAGGCAGATAACCCACAGTATCTGCTTTGAACTGGATTATCTGAGTCTACACATCCATATAATCCAGTTCAATGTGGATTTTATAAAGCTGTGTAGAAGGGGCCAAAGCAATCTATTGGCAGAACTGCTCTGTTGGCTTAAGATCTGCTGGCAGAAAAGGGTAGTAAACAGAACCAAGTTACATCAGATGCAAACCTTCTGCAACTCAATGACACAACCACAAATGCTGGTGGAAATTTAAGGAAGAAGAGGCCAGTCCTTAAGTAGTTTCAACATTCCTATTCTAGAAGTAATTTGGACTCAGCACTGCTTCAACTGGTTTAATACCAACTCATAAGACCCTTGACTGATGAGTTGGTATTAAACCACAAAATATTTTAAGGTAGTGAGAACCAAGCAGAGTAGCAAGTGGCTGCAAAAGAATCCCATGTAACTGGAGGAATGATTATTAAAATAGCAAAAACAAAACAAAATAATTCCTAACTTTACATGTACAATGACAATCTGAGAATTGAGAATGAGCAAGCTCAGTGAAAACACCAAACCTACATATAGTGACTATGAAAAGAACACATTCCTTTTGGGAACTAAAAATAAAACTGACGGCACCTCTACTGTCATGGTGTACAGCTCTGGTTTCTACACCCACAGCAGAGAAGAAAAAGATGAAGCAAAGGGAAACCAAAATGACAACATGGCTGGAATTATTCCGCCACAAGTATAAGTTACAAGATTTCAATTTTTCAAAAGTTGAATAAGGGGGAACAGTGTGTATAAAATAATGCATTGTTTTCTACAATATGGAGAAAGTGGATCTTTCTGTCATAATACAAAAAAAGAGTCACCCAGGGAAGCTGAAAATGGGAGCCTCACATCAGATTCCCAGGGCATCTGGAATCCACTAACACATAATGCAGTGATTGTCACCTACACAACAGGCTTTAGAAAGGGGTTAAACAAATTCATGGAGGATAAAGCTATCAATGGTTGCTTGTCATGATGGCTATATATTTCCTCCAGTCTCAGCCTCAATCCTAGTTGCTGGGAAACATAGGTGAAAAGATGCTATAATCTCATGTCCAGTTAAGGCATCTGTCTGGCCACTACAGAAACAGGATGATTGTTCAATCTGATTCATCAACATAGTGTTTCACATGTTCTTATGCCCCATTGTATGAACATCATTTATGAAAAGGGGCTTCTCCTCATAGAATCACAGTGTTGGAAGGGACCTTGTAGGCCATCCAGTCCAACCCCCTGCCAAGAAGCAGGAAAATTACATTCAAAGCACCTCTGACAGATGGCCACCCAGCCTCTGTTTTAAAGGCTCCAAAGAAGTAGCCTCCACCACACTCCGGGGCACAGAGTTCCACTGCTGAACAGTTCTCCCAGTTCAGGTGGAATCTCCTTTCCTGTAGTTTGAATCCATTGTTCATTTACTTCTGTGTCCAGAATCCAACATCCATCCCTTATTTATTGATGTCACAAGGAATCTCCTTCTTATATAGGATTTCCCTGTGTGCCTTGGGCCCTGAAGGAACTCTGGCATGGACTTTTAGTGTTAATGAAATGAAAATAGTCAAAAAAAGATAAATTGCCATTCCAACAACATCAATCAAATGCTGAATTCACTTTTCTGAGCCATGTTCTCAACATCAACATTTCTGCCTAGATCTCATCAGGAAATGTCATTTTAAAGATTTTATTAAGAGTGCTTGTATCTATTAAAGCTGCTGGACTCACTGTCTTGAGGACAGGAGTTCATTAATTTTTGGCAGAACAGATATATAAGCCTGGGAAGACGTGCCAAGTCTCCTATGGCCTGTCAGGAAAAGACTCTGCCAACAGGATTGTAACAAAACAAAACAAAAAAATCCGAAATGGGCACTTGCTCTCGATGATCTGAGATGAGATATTTGGTCACAACAGTCCACCCAGGATTGAAAACGTATGGTTCAGGCAGAAATCACTTTTATAAATAAGATATGTATATACGATCCCCCTCCTTCCCTCCCTTCCTTCTCCCTTTTCCTTTTAAATATATGTGTTTCTTTCATGTGTCTCCACTCACAGAATCTGTTTCAAATTGTTATATTAAAGAGAGGGGGGGTAATAATTTTTGTGAAACATATTTTGCTGGGTTTTATAAATGGAACATTGCTTTCACTGCTCAAATCAGGACAAAAGAGTTTCCCTTCATAACTTTGATGGACTTTTTTGGTTTTAAAGCTTTATGGTCATCCAAACTTGCCCACTCATCCCATCTTCACTGTACTTGGTGCCACAAGCTAGTTCCCTGCGGCTAATACACCAGTTTTAACAATAGGTCTTGTCTGGATACATTTTCCCCCCACAACGTTGAGCTGAACCTAAAAGGTTTTGAGACCAAAAACATGGAAGGACAGGATTGACGATTCATCTTGCATGGATGTAGTAAACTGCTTTTATGGGGCTTTTAAAAGAACACATAAGTTTGGTATTTGATACATCTGGATGCATTTTGGGAAGAGTACCTCTACAATTTTAAGCTAATACAATGAAGTCACATATTCTGCTTAAAGAGATGGACTTATTGTTCCTTAAAGTGGAGACTATATTTCTTGCTCTCAAAATGGATGAGATCATTGTTTTATCCTTTCCAAGAACAGTAATATTAGCCAGAATAGAATAGCGAAAGCTTGGGGAGGGGAGTAATTTCAAGGTACATTGGGCCTATTTCTATAATCAAAGTGTCTGTATGAAAAGATAAATAGGACAGCACAGAGACAATGGAAGAGTGAGTGAGTGAGACAGACAGACAAATGGTCACACACAAAGAAAGAATCAAAAAGCAACAATAGAGAACTTGAATGAATACACTGAAAATAAATATTGTCACTTTAAATGTATTTGTTTGCTTGGTCCAACGAGAAAGTGCCTGTATGCTTATAGGGTTGTAGGGGGAGAAGAACAAAGAAATAAAGGTCAATGTTCCGGCAGTTTAGGAAATTATTCCATCCTTGAGCTAATCAGCCTGTCATCTAAATAACTCCCAACTCATTCCTGGCTGGGAACTATAACACACTGCTAAACCAGTCTGTTTAAACTTACTATGGCATCTGGACAGAGAACATTTGTCCCATGACCTTCAGCAGTTAAGTTCTTAAGGCCTCCTGAGTTCAAATTATTCATGGACTTTTCCACAAAATTCGACCCCATTGTATTTCTGAATTTAAGTAAAAGAATCCCATCTATACCTGAAGAATCATGTTCATTCACTTCCAGGGACCTTCCTTAAAGAATACGGATGTGAAGTGGTCTTTACAGCATTGATTAAAATAATGGACTGGCCATTAAAACTAAACTTAAAATAAATAAAACCAACTTTTTTCTTAGATCAGCTCAAACATGTGTTATAAAAAAGCTTTAAAAGGCTGCCTATATATATTTCACAGTCCTCCATAAAGTACTCCATGAAGAGTAAAAGACACAGAGGATTTTATGGAGGACTATGAAAGTGGCTGATTTAAGGGCATGTTTGTTATCCCGAGTTCTTTTCTATATGCTAGGATTTTAAAACAACATTAGCCCTCCACATTTGCAGGTTTGACTTTTGTGAATTTGATTATTCATGGATTAAATTAATATGTTCTCCCAAGGAATCTCTAGGCCCTCCAGGTTAACCATATTTTTAAAATAGGTGTTGTATTAAAGACACAACTCTCCTCTTTAAAGGTGGACATGGTGCATTCCATCTGTATTTGACTATGATCCCAATAATCACCAGTCGCTATGGTCAATTATCAAACTGGCAAGATGTTATAGGAGTTGTAATATAAAACAGTGGTAGGACACCATCTTTTGGAAAGTTGTTCTTTGTGGTCATATGTCAATATAATGACCACTAATTTAAAAACAGTTACATGCCAACATACCATCACAAACCTCAGATATTTTCATCGCCTGTTTGCTAGTGGGACAATTTGGATATTTTAATTTATAATATCATGATCAGTGTGGAATCCGGAAAAGATGAAGTGCTATGGTCACATAATGAGAAGACAGGAAAGCTTGGAGCAGCCAATGATGCTGGAGGGAAAAGGACGAGGGGCCGATCAAGGGCAAGATGGATAGATGGTACCCTTGAAGTGACTGGCTTGACTTTGAAGGAGCTGGGGGTGGCCATGGCTGACAGGGAGCTCTGGTGTGGGCTAGTCCATGAAGTTACGAAGAAACGGAAGTGACTGAATGAATAAACAACAACAACAATTGGTGTGGTGAAGCTTACTTTCATCTATGTTTGCGTATATGCAAACTTGATGAAGTTACTCTGTTGGACTTCCCTAGTAAGTATGCAGCAACCTTCCCATAGGGAGTATGTTTAATTCAGCTTATATTTCTCATAAAAATTCCCTCATAGCCTTAGGACATCAAATAGACATAGTGTCCCTAGGTCACTTTCATCATCTTCTTTAAACGATTATGGATGATTATTGGCATATTTAATAGTAGTGGTTTTATTCGTACTTTTTTATTATGTAAATCAATTTTTTAAAAAAGCAATCTGCTTAGAGGATTTTTGCTATAAAATGCAGGAGGTGGACTAGATGGCCTTTGTGATCTCTTCTCATTCTGATTCTGTGACAACGATGATAGAAACAGATTTATGCACCATCTCTTTAAGTGTACATCCAACCAACATACCAGCCAACCCCATGTTTTATCTCTGTGTTAGGAGGGATTTGAAGAACAATGTTCCCTCAACACCCTTCCCTGTTTTGGCAGTATTTTCTTGCTAACCTCTGATATAGACCTTGTTTTATAAGGTCATACTTATATTTGTTTTTAATGTATTTCATAAAAAAATGATACTTTGGGAAAGTTGTCTGGTGTAAATAACTTACATGCTTTAAAATGTATTTGAAATTCTGCAGCTTAAGCAAACAAAGTATTGTGTTGTTGTAAATAATGGCTAAACAATTCCCCAACAGACATAAACTGAAGGACAGACATGTTAGTCTGCATCAGTTTGACCCAGCTTGTAACAGGACAAACAATAATCTTTACAGGATGGACAGATGGCAGAACACAATACAAAATGGAATTAGGAACCTTGGGTTGCAGATGGAGAAGGAAAGTCAGCAGTTTAAAGGTCACTTGACTTTACATATGTTAAACTGGTATGTCTGTATTTTAACTGTGTTATGTGTCTATTAATTGCAGTATTTTAATTTGTTGTTCTCATCTCAACCCAATGGAAAAGATGAGTAAGAAATACATTTTTATTATTAAGATTATTATTACATTATTACATTACCTTGGTTTTACAACCAGGGATAACAGCTAAAGTGAGACAATCAAATAGCAACAACTCAATGGCAGAACATATGCTTTCAGAAGCTTTCCTCAGTGGTCCCTGAAAGAGCTTGTAAATATGATGTCTTGGACAGTTGTAGCCAACTGGAACTGACATCCTGTGGCCAGTGGTAGAGCACCTTCCCTTGCTGTCTGAAATGCCACATCTTTTCTGGCTCCCAACACTGCCAACACTGCTGCCTGACCTCTCTTACCATGGGAAGGGAAAGATGGGTAGACTCCATGAAGAGGTCTGTTGCATTCTCCCAGATAGCCCATCAGCTATGTGGGAGAATGTGGCAAGGGTTCCTCCTTGTATTCAGATATTTTGGGTGGGATAGCCTAGAAGATTGTGCTTGTGGGTGACTTTGTAAGTACCTATCAAAGCTAGGCATTGGAGATGTGCTCAACCTTGCTTTTTGGAATGACAACAGCAGTGACAGCTGGCCAGAAAGGGGAAGAAGAGTGATTTGCAATGTCTAGTTTCTGCTGTTTGTGGGAGACACTTAACCACATTTAATGGAAAGGGCAATCCTTTCCATTAGAGCACTACACAGGTTGTCTAGGGATAGTAGGAACCAGAGTCTAGCTATACATGGAGGATCACTGGTTTTCTAGAAGTGCTTTAAAGACTTAACTGTGTCCAGGGTGGCTAGTACAGATCCAACCATTTTTTTAAAAAAACATTTAGATTGTCTTACTTCCATGTATAACATGGCAGCAACATGTTTTGCAGCTGCTGAACACTTTGCAGTTTCAGAAACATATACTTCATGCTGCATGTACAGATCGCTAGTGCACGACTGTGTCAAAGTCTTCTTTCAACAGGTATGGAGACTATGGAAAGAGATAAACCAATTTGCCCTGTGGTATATGCAGAAGCTGTAATACATGGACAGTTACCCATGGCTGTTCAAAACTGTATGTTCGTCTCCTGTCCTCCACATCTTCATCTTGCTTTGCTTGCTGAAATTCTTGCCTTAGACGTTGTATCCGGTCATGATTGCTGGGAGCTGATCTGTAGCAAAGAGTGACACAGGGAGAAGGGAGATTAATGCTTCATATGGAAACAACTACAGTATTTTTCTTCACACAGCAAGTACTTAAAGCATGATCTGCCAAAGTGCTCACAATCAACATTTTTGAGCAAAGGTTTAAACACATAAAGGCTATTTGCTCCCTGTAAAAAAAATGTTTAAAATATTCTGGCAGATGCCCACTAAAATCTTATTTATTTATTTATTTATTTATTTACTACACTTATATACTGCCCCTCTCAGCCCAAGGGCAACTCAGAATGGTTAACAATAGGCAACAATTTGATACCAGAACAGTTACAACAATTAAAACAATCATAAATACAATTAAAACACTAACAGTAATAACAATATAAAAACCATACATCATGATCATACATTAAAAAACATTATCAAAGCGTCTCCGTATCTAATCATCATCCAGTTGCATCGTCAGTTTTCCATAATATCAATTGTCTATGCCATATTTGGGAATCTTAGCAAAAGTTTGGGAAGAAGTTATGCATTTTACTATGTTGATTACATGAAATAAGTTGGGGAAGGAACGTTGGTGAAATTGTTTGAAGAATTGTGAAATGCCTAGCTGTATGACTCAACCAGAAACTTCTCCATGGGTTTGAAGATTATCATTTTAAAGCACCACAAGTATTTGGCCCATGGCAAATCTCAGCATGTTAAAGAAAGTTCTTTCAACTGCAAAGGTAAATGAGCTGAAGTGTCTGAGTAAACCTGAGGTTGGAATTCAGGGGAATGATGAACTGTGCTAAAGAAGAGGTCCCTTTGTGGCTTATTTGAAGGAATTATTATAGGTATCATCAATTTGTTTGATGGCTTTAGGACAGCCTGCCTACCTATCTTTCTGCCCATCCATCCAACTATCCATCCACAAATTACAGAAAGGAATTAATGCAAGTTTTCCCAAAAATGTCCTTAAACACACAGTGTCACTTTCCAAAAGGTTTAAACTTATCCCTTCAGTATAACTATGGAACCACGGAGTCTGTGGAACACACTCCCCAGGGAAATCAGATTGGCTCCATCTCTCCTTTCCTTCAGGTAAAAGCTCAAGACATGGTTTTGGGACCAGGCATTTGAGCAGCAGACCTAACAGCAGTTGCAATGTTTATGTTTTTTAATTGATAATGCACAGGTTTTGGACTGGGTCTCTCAATTGAACTTGGATGCAGTTATATTGTTATTGTAATAATAATGTTTTAAATGGCTATTTTATAATTTAATGTTTTAATTAATGTTGAATCTGTGTTATTTGTTATGGTGTATCTTGGCTTCGAATTGCTGCCGATTGTAAGCCACCCTGAGTCCCCCTGTGAGGGTTGAGAAGGACGGGGTACAAATGTTTGAAATAAAAAAATAACTGTATTAAGATGCTATCTCAGAGTAGTGTGTGTGTATATAAATGTTATACAGTGTATATACTGTACCCAACCTTAGTTCAGAGCTATTAATACCAATGGTAGGCATGGTAAGAAGGCTGAATATCAGTAAAGCACCCAACATGGGATTGCCCTCAGAGATGATGCAGAAGCATCATTTCCACTGAAGAATGAAACAAGATAGCATACAAATGGACTTAAACCACAGAAATCTACCTTATTTTTGTTGACATATTACCATTGAATATATCACCTTGTCACAATCAACAACTGCAGCAATCTAAAATCTAATGAATGCTGTAATCTGACCCACATCCAAAGCAAATCTGAAAAGGGCTACTATGATTTTAAAAGCTATTTTTAAAAAATACAAAGGACTTTGTGCTATTTTTTTCAAATTTAAAATGCAGAGAAATCTTTTTATGAGATGTTCTAATATTGAATCAACGTGGTAGATAATTGTTTACTCACTTCAGCTACCCTGCTGCTGTCAGAGCTTCCATCTCTGTGGGCTCCTCACTATAATTTGGAGACGGCAATATTGGATTATTTCTCTCAGTCAATAGGATCCTGTCACCTTTCAGGACTGTTTCTGACAAGTCCTTTGAACTGATCAGCTTGATAGCATTAAAAGGTTAACGGGCATGTGGTACATTTCACCAAGTGGAAACTACTCCAGCATTCATCAGGGATATGTCCTCTCAGGAACAGAGAGGAAGGTTGCACTCTCGTGAACACTGTCTTCTGGAGCAAAACCCTTTGAACTGAGCAGAATTACCTTTCAGCTATAGCTATGCTACAGGTATTTGCAATGCAATATTTAGTGGGTTTTTTTGTGGATCAAGTAAAATTACTGGACAGATCCTAATATTGTGCAAAATCAGTGCTAGTGTGGGACCTCAAAGCTGGATCTGTTAGTTTGCAGCATAGTGACTTCTTGTTTGTTTGTTTTACTATGCCCTCTTTTTTTCCTGTACCACTTTAATCTTCAGCCATTTCTCCTTCTCTCCCTTTCTCTCTTTTCCATTAGATCTTGTATCCGATTGTGAACTAGTATTGCAAGTAAATCTTTTTATATGTTTGATAAAAAGCTAGTGGGAGCAGTTATTGTTAAGGTTCTGCCTTACCAGTAGGATTACTCAGCTTGGGAGAGCTACATTTCCAAACAAGGGGTGTGTGCAAATATTCATAGAAGATGTGGCAGGTAATGGATCAGTGGGGCAAAAGTTCCCTGGCTGTCATGGGCATGCCACAGCCCAGCAGGTCTGGCATTCAGTCTTTCTTTTTGCTATATAATGAGTAGAAAGAAAGTAACAGTGCCAGATATGTTTGGCCATGGCATGGCAATGGCAACTGGGATGCTGGAATGTATTTATCTGAAATGAAGAAAGAGCATGTGCATAAGACAGATAATTCTATTACTGTTCCACTGAAAATATTTTTCTATGACATAATTATGCCTATTTTCAAATAAACGTGTTTAGCATTGAACAAGAAAAAGACAATACACTGCAGTCATAAACTCTATTTCACTTCTTAAGGCACCCTGGTGATTTTATGTGAGTTTGAAATGAAGCACAAGCTTGTAACATCTTTCCCCCCACCTCCTTTAAAGCCAAGCAACACAAATTATTTCATTGCTTTGACATGTCAGGTATGTAGAAGGCGTTAAAAAAGATGCAATCATTTGGAAGCATGCAGCGAGAAGGGAAATGTCTCATCAGTCTGTTTGTCTAAAAGGATTCTCCTATTAACTACAAGGTCACGAATTACCTAGATGGGCCACTGTGCAAAATTTGAAGTTTTCCATAAATACCAGTTGAGAAGAAATCTCAAGACTGACTCTAGGGTTTCGAGGGTCTCCAGGCAGAAAACCATCAGAACAGAACCCTAACTCTATTAACTTCTAGTCACCTTTTCTCTTGGTTTTCATGTCAAAAGGCTTTCCTGAATTGCATTATTTAATTTGAAACCAGCCATCTTAGCCAAGTCAAATAGATTTTTCATCAGAGCTGGCATTAGAGGTTGGGATTGCTATGGTTTATACTCTCACAGGAGAGCCAGGACCTTCTGCCCCTATTGTTTTCTCCTATTCTGTTGTTGCTTATTCACTGACTATCTCCTAGCAAGCAAATGACAAGAACAAAGAGATAGAAGTGTGTCCTCTACTTGTCTTGCCTTCTCCTTCTGCATTTGTGCTGATTGGTCCCAGACAAAGAAAGAGAGAGAGAATGGACAAACAAGCAACAATGGCATTAGCGAGGAAGAGGTGAACCAGGAGGGTAACTATCGTAAGAGCAAAAATGAGCCTGCCGCTCTGTCTCCCCCAGATTTATTTTTCCTTTAGCCACCCTATTTCTAGCATTGCAAGGAAATACACCAAACGTTATTCACACCTGGAATTGTTGTATTTGTTCTCTTAGCCTCTTTCTGCTTTTTTCCTTTGAATTCCTTGACTGTATACCAAATTTTTCAGATGAAGTTTTAAGTTAATCCAATGCTAGAAATTTAAGGAAGCAGAATTCTTCATTGCATGGGAGGGGGCACAATATTTCTCCATAGCAATATCCTTGAAGTGAACCCATTCAGAAAAGGGGTTGACTGAGAACATCTTAACTAAAACTCTGAAGTTAGGCTGGCTTAAATGCATTCTTCATTTGAATAACAAACATCCACAATGAAGCCTGTAGGTATAGCTAATGTTGTAGTGCTGAGGTGGGTAATAGGGTGTTTGTTGATACCACTGTGAAACACAATGTTTTCCCGCCTTCTATATGCTACATTACACCATTGATTAGTACTTTCTGATAGGGTTGTTCCCAGATACATCAATGGACATGTGTTGACACATCATTCAACTGCTGTTTTAGTCAGTCTAATCTAAAGAGGACTAGCCATCAAGATTCAAGTAATTGCTGAAGACTTTCATGGTCAGAGTCACTAGGTTGTTGTGGGTTTTTCGGGCTGTATGGCCATGTTCTAGAAATATTCTCTCCTGACATTTCGCATGACCTTACAACCTCTGAGGATGCATGTCATAGATGCAGGCAAAATGACAGGAGAGAACACTTCTAGAACATGAACATACAGCCCAAAAAACTGTATGCCCAACCCAAGATTCAAGTCATTTTATTTAAAAGGGGAATCTCAGTAAGCAAATGCTGTACTCACTTCATTTTTCTTAACTTTAACCCAGAGACCTTTGCTGGTGTCTGCCTGTGGCAGTTTCTAGATACATGCCAAGATCTCAAAAGAAAGAAGTTTGTGAATATGTAGCAGAGGAATTCATAACAAATTACTATTGCTGTGGGGGTGAGTTTGCCCCAACCCTAGTAGTTGACGCCTGCCAACTACACATTGTTAAATGCACCCTCAGCAGTTTAATGAATGCTACTTACAAGACATGAAATCGCCTGCAAGGGCCCAAAAAGAGCAGCGTAAGCAAAGCTCATATAGGCCAGAGCTGTCACATATTTTCAGTAACAAGAAGCCACAGCAATGGCCGTTAAGAGTCTCAGATCGTTAAGCAATATCTCACTATGATGTCATGCGCTGAAGTACGGAGTTGTAATCCTTTCAGAACGGAC